TTAGGAGCACTCACTTCAACAAGAGCAAGATATTCTGATTTCCATTAGTGTACTGCATCCTCAGGGTGGTCCCAAGCACATCCCAAGGGCCCCTCAGGACCTCAGCCTCATTATCTCTGGTCCAATCCCTTACTGATTTGCACTGATGTCAACCACCCAAACCCCTATCTTAAGAATTGACACACTTCTTGGATCTGTGCCACTACTGGGAGCTGATCACCCCCTCAATACCTTGGTGGTCTTTTGGAGTCTGCACAATTCCCATTAATTCCTGGTTCTCCTAGAATCAAGAACTGAAAAAATAGTGCCAACTGAGAATCCTTCTAAACATGAGGAATGTCCTTTCAAATTTAGGTCACTTGTTCTCAAGGCCTAGACAACTTAATTAAATTTGATGTCACATTTGAAACAATTCCACTGGAAAACTTTTCGTGTTTATTACTTAAATTCAAATTTCCCATAATTTTAAAAAGAGAGAGAGAATTTTAATATTTATTTTTAAGTTTTCGGTGGACACAACATCTTTGTTTGTATGTGGTGCTGAGGATCGAACCTGGGCCGCACGCATGCCAGGCAAACGCACTACCGCTTGAGCCACATCCCCAGCCCCAAATTTCCCATAATTTTAATGGATGCCATCACAGGGCCATGCACCAATTAAAATAAATAAAAATCTGTGCCATTATTAGTGAGTTATGCCAGACAAAACCCCACCTATTTGCCTGTGCTGGTTAAAATAGTTGACACCCCCACAATACCAGTTAAAATAAGAGACAGAAGAGTTACAGCCTGTAATACAAGATAAAAGAGGGGGGTCATAAGCCCCAAGATTTCTCCCCTTAATTGTCCAAGTTTGCCTATCCTCTAAGTCAATAAAAATAAATGGAGGTTCCTTATTGATTATTGTAACCACATGCCAAAGTTTCTCCCATCAAAGGACAAATATGCAATATTAATGAGGTGACTGAAAACAAAGACACCCTCATCATGAAATATCTTGCTACAATTGACCTCATCAGTATGTTTTATTTTGTCCCCATTATAGGCTTCCCAGACTCAATTTATCATCTTCCAAGTACCAAATCTATCTTTACCTGCTTGCCTCTGGGGTAAACAGCTTTGCCATGGCCCATAACCTTTGCCACCAAGAGCTAGGTAATATATTCATTTGGCTTCTACTCACCACCAGCATTATGTAGATGATATCTCTGAATATCTCTAGAAATTCTGAAATCTGAATCACTAGGCAGACATGGATGCCACAGTGTCCCAACTTCAAAACAGAGACTGGGTTATCACACTACTTAAAATCCAACAACTGGTGACTTCTGTTAAATTCCAGAATACTAGCTAAAGCTCTTGCTTTTGGTTCAGGCAGTGGAAAAAGGACAGTTTCCTTATACAGAGTAGAGAACTATGGGCACTATCCACATAGCAAAAGTTGGCAAGTGCTTGCCTGAAAATCTGTGTCACCCATGTTTCTGTTCATGTCACAGCCAGCACATCTAAGGCTCTCTTCAATGATCCAGCTGATCCATTAATGATAGGTCACTCTACACTCAGCATTATAGGATCTATTCAAACCTAAAGTTCCACCTAAAAATCTTCCATTCTATTAATGCTCTTAAAAAATGGGTGATTAACCTAATTTCCCCCTCTAAGTCCCTCAAAGAATTTATTCCTTCAGGGCTATTTCTACAAAAAGAGTACATTATCAGAATGGGAGATAACTACAGTTCATAAATGAAAATGACATTCAAAAGTAACGATAGAACTGGCACTCTATCGCACCATGATAAAACTGATAACACTGGTTACTGGTGACGACAAATTCCGTTTCTTCAGATGTGAAGATTGAACACCCAGGAAAAACCTAGGCAAGCGGAGGATAGTAACACAGACTTCTCCACAGAGAAGGGGACCCAGAGCTGAGTGTTCCTGAGAGGGGTGACACTTGTCCTTTTTAAAATTTCCAGGTTTATTACTTCTCCTGTCCTCTAGGGACATTCAGTGAAGAGGGGGGCAATTCAAGGGGATCCACCCAGGGAATACTCATTAATAATTTCTTGCTAGGAGGGACAATCTCCCTGGAGGCAGGTAACCTTTGGGTTATGGTTAGGGGAGGGGGAATGTCCTGAAGGTGTTACATTTCAATCCCCCAGAAGCAGGTAACTTTGGCCGTGAGTGATGGGGATGTGTCCTGAAGGTATTAATATTCCATTCCCCTATGAACCAGCTTCTACCTTCCCATCCTTATTCAGCTTCCATCTTCCTGACCAGGCTGGATTTCTCTATCTACACTAACTGCCTGACCTTTGTTCTTGCTTCAAAACCAATAGTAATCATTCATGCCGGAAAGAAACGAACACCAAACAATAAAAAGCCTATCAGATACAGCTGCACATCATGGTGTGGGATCTTGATCTTATTATTATTAGTCTGGCTACTTTCATTGTCCTGTGATCTAAAGGCTTAAACAAACCCCATTTCAACTAGACATGGAAAATGCTGGGGTCTAAATGCCATTGAGTTTGGCTAATGCAAACCCTGCTGCACAAAACTCTCACCAACTTCCCCATCACCAGCCAACTCATAAGTCAGACAAAAGATCCACAGTGATTGGTTAAATTTGAGGGGCTTCCTATAGGCTAACACTGAAGTTCCCACCTCAACCACAGATGTTTTAATAGGCAAACATCCTAACCAAGGGCAAATTGGGCCATACGATTGACGATCTACGTACAGCAGAACATCTCTCATCACTCATACCAGAAAAACCTTGTACTGTTGACAACTTTTAGATTCAGCTACCTTGATTGAGATTTTAATGGTGCCAGCAAGATTCAGGTGTGTTGTAATTGAACATTGATCAGTTACAGCAGTACCCAATATCATCTTTTCTGTGGATCCACAAAGCCTTTGACTTAAAAGATGATTGCACATCCATCCCAGGGCCCAACATGTATTCAAATTCTACAAACAGCTCAGCCTCATTATAACACCATAGATCCACAAAAATACGACCCCATCAATTTAAGTGGGCTCCAGTGGGAAGGATACCCCATTATCACACTGGCCCAACTCAAAACTTTGCCATTAGGAATAAATTTGCTTCTGCCTCTCAGCCAACTACACCAGAACTTGGAAAGTCTCACCCCCATAGGAGACCCCAGATTTGTTTTGTTTTGGTTTTATGGGTTTTTTTTTTTTTGCTTGTTTGTTTTTGGTTTTTGGTTTTTTGCCCAAAAACTCAGCCCTGCTCTGTGATCCTGTAAACATCTCAGTCCTGTCCTTTATGATTGTAATCCAACTCCAAAACCTCATTAAAGTTAAGCCCCTTGGGAACCAAACCCAGTGTATCCATAATGCTTCTAAGATTCATGTTCTTGCTAATGCCACCCGCCTCTCCTGCCCAGAGGGTAGTTTTACTGAAGTCTCCAAATTGTGTGCTCTCCAAAGTATAACAGAATCACACTCAAATCTTTTAGTCGTTCTATTGTTTCCCTTCCCCCTCCTTCATTTTCAGCTCCCCCACTTTTACCTCAATCTCTCCTGTCCTGACAGTGTCTATTGCTCTTGTACTCTAAAACACTGAATGGCATAAAAAGTATAGACCCATTGCCCTAGGCCCTTGGGTATTTACACATATATCCAAAATGCATATGCATTTGACTGAGCTTACCTATTAGGCATTGACTATGTGTAACTGTTGGACTTGCTATTATCCTTCCACATATCACACCACACATCTTCTCTAGAAATGGAAAATATCCAGTAGAAGAAGTATCCTCTTCCAAATTTTCCTGCATGGCCGGTGGAATGGCCTGCCTGTTTCCTCAGTATGTATCACAGATGAACCACCACTCCATTACCATATGTCCAACAAAAACCACTTTCTCCCTCTAGTGTCATTCTCTAATATTCCCATTTACCTAAAATAAGGTATTATTTTTCCAGCCTAAAGATAACACCACAGGATTATATGTGGCCCAACAAATAAGGATGTATAACCCTTCTACTTTGTTCTTCTATTAACCACAAATCAGAAGCTACACGGATACATTCTGGTCTCTCTTGGCTTCCCATTTAAATAAATGCTAATCATTCTCTACTGCCCCCACCCAGGATCATTCATACCTATGATACATATGCCACGTTTATGCCTATATTACGAGGACTTATCACTACTTTGGGACTTGCTAGAATGGACACAGGGAACATTGCTCTAAAAATCATTGATACTAATCAACAAATGTCCAAAACTCCAGTATCTCATATTTCTAAAGTACAACAAATATTAAGTTTGCTTAGCCAAGGCCAGGGAACCCTGGCCAAAAAAAAAAAAAAAATGGTTTTTGGCAATGAATTTGCCACTGATTATATATTATCTAGTCAAGGTAATGTTTAACATTAATGCTTCCTGCTACCACCAATCAAGTGGCCACTCTCATGAAAAGCCTGGACCACAAAATCATCATTAAAAACATAACTCATAACTTCAACACACTCTGTAAATCAAAGAAGATGCTACTGAGGTCCCCATCATGACCAATGTATTCTGGAAACACTAAATAAATAAAGGAACTGGCTACAGACCAAACTTCAGGAACTCTTCATGTTTCTATGGGGTCTTTTTCTTTTTACTGTCATAATAAAACATTTTCTATGTTCATTAATTCAACCCTTAGAAAAATTGTAATATTCTGGTCAGACCAGAAGATGGTGGTCAAACTTTTATACTACTCAAGTAGCACAAATACCTTAAATAATTGAGCTCAAAATTCATGTCAAGGACTCAATTATTATATATATTTTATTTGTGAATTTTTTCTCTTTTTAATTTATTGTGCTTTCTTAATCTTGTTTTGACACCCTGGCTAGAGGCTGGCCAGTTCCCTTTCTTGAGCAGCTGATTAAGTCCACACCCCAACCATTTCCTTTATCAGGGGCATTTTACTCTTGGGATACTAAGTACCTAACCTAATCACTACAGGGCCAGACAACAGACAAGGGGACAGCGCCTCTTCCCTGGAACCCACAAAAATTATGGGGAACCCAGGGAATTAGCTAACCTCACCCTGTTTGCCATACATAAGCTGTGCCTGTCTGGTCCACACTAGCTTGCTGGTACTCTGTTTGTAGGTACTACCTCCCTCCTGGCCCTGCCCAGAAGACTTCTCTGCTTGGAGTTGTAAGTAATAGAGTTCTTCTGCCTTGCATCTGCCCAAGCATTCTTATGTTGTGCCTAGCCACCAAAAGAACCTCTAGAGCTCACTACTCTCAATGTATTAAAGTTGAAAAGTTTTAAAACAATTTCTTATTAAGCTTTTAAGTCTTATGGCAGGAGGGGTCATGGGAAATTGAACCCAAGGGTGCTTTACCAGTGAGCTACATTCACAGCCCTTTTTATTTGTTATTTTGAGACAGGGTCTTGCTGTTGCCCAGGTTGGTCTCAAACTTGGGATCCTCCTTCCTCAGCATTCCAAGTTGCTGGGATTACAAATGTGCACTACCATACCCAGCTAAACTTTTATGTCTAACAAGTTTAAAAATCTTGAAATTTTAGTGAAGAAATATAAATTATTACTTACTTATTCCTTGATTAATACTCAATGGTTATTCCTTTAAGCAATGTAGGTGATAGAACTAAATGAGTTCCTTTAAATATTTTAAACTATGTTAATTAAAAACTTATCTCTTGAACATCTCAAATGCTTGCCGTGTTAGTCTTTTATAAATATTTTTAAATGGGAAGAAAATACTAATAACTAAGGAAAACTCAAAAAGGTGAGTTTAGAACTCAAATGTGTGTTCTAATAATTTTCTCTTAAACATTGAAACTGTGAAGACAGTTGGATATGGTGGCATATGCCTATAATCCCAGCCACCTGGGAGGCCGAGGTGGGAGGATTACTTGATCCCACAAGTTTGAAAGTAGCCTGGACAACTTAGAGAGACCCCATCTAAAACAAAACCACTCTGTAGAGACTCACAAAAAATTTTTCATATGGTTCATATATCTAATTTTCTAATATGCCAGGTTATATTACAAGTTTCAAGTACCTTAAGAAACAATCTTCATAGATTATTCCAATGATTATAAAATTGGGTTTCTAGACTTAATATAAATGTACTGACACTCTAGATTTGATTGAGCTTAACATCCCTGTAGTTATTTCTCTTTTCCCAGAATTGCAAAGTCACTTAGTCAAATAAAGAGAAGAGACTTATAACCTCATTGGGCTGAGGTAACTGTATTGAGAATCAAGGCCAAAGTTGAAATGTCAATTAACAAACTTGAGAGAGGAGCAGAGACCTAGTTAGGTATTACATCCACCTGAGGTGATCTACCTGATCCAAGGTTCAGCATGCGGGTCATTTTCTTCCTGAAACCTGATATATCATATGAACCTTTACCCAATTTTTAAAGTTACCTCTTTAACAAGTTTTTTGTCTGATTTGGTCTATGAAAATCCTCCTCCATGTTAATATTCTTTATCACTTGGCTAAATTTAATTAATTTTGTTATTGGGGTTCACATGTTTTTTTGTACTTTTCATATCTGGTTTGATGTCAATTATCCAATTGCCATTTTATTGACTTTTCCCTATATGATTAGTGCTATTTACTGGATACTTTATTTTAGAACATGGAATTAGATATGCTAGCAGGACAGAACTGGCACTGTGAATTTTCTGAAGGAGGTAATAAAAAAACAGGAAATGAGACTGTGCTAATATAGTACAGACCAGTGTGAGCTAGGTGGGTTCTCTCTGGGGCCTTTCTGGCACAAGCACTTTTTTGTGTCCTTCTTGGTGTGTCCTTAGTGTCTAGTTAGGTTTCTCTCATTGCCCTTACCTCAGTGATTTCTAATTATCTGAAGGTGAGTAGTACATCAGCAAAAAGCAAAACTGTAGGAGTCCAACAGAATTACTCTGAGGTGGCATTATGGTGAAAACAACGATGTTTAAACTTCAGTTCGGTCCACTTGCTTGGTCTACTTCCAAGATCTTGAAAGGGCCCTAGAAATGTGTTTACATTGTCATAAAATTTACAAATGATATTTTACCCCAAATCAGTCAAACCCATTATCATTTTAGTCTCTCTACCTGTCAGTGTACTTCCTGTGTCAAGTGGTGGAGAGGCTTCGAGCATTTTTCAGATCCAGACAGGGAAATTGAGTTTAGAATAATTTAGAATAAATTAGAATAAATACCCACTTAGCACAGTGGGTATTTACGGGGTTCCTAGTCACTTCTGTATACATATTTATAATTTATTGCTAGCCATACTGGCATAATAAAAAAATATTTAGGGCTCAAAGCCATATCAAAATGTGCTAATAGCTCCTAGATTCAGACATTTGTGGGCTACTGAAAAGAAACAGATTATGAAAGGTACACAGACAGTACTAATCTATTTTAAATTATTTACCTGCCAAATGTGTGAAACTGCAGGCAGAGAATTTGGTTTTCATCTGATATTAGTCAAGATGAAAGTTCTCTCCTCTAAATATATCTGATACTGTCTGATATATGATGAAAACCACATCATACTTTAAAATTTTTTTAATGGAAATAGAACAAAAATTAAACAATCCTGTGTTCTAAGGCACAGGCCTGAAGAAATATTTCAAATGCATATGAAGTTTTTTGCATCTGGTATCAATAACAAATACAAAACAAATTTTAATCGACCATTCTAGAATTATGAATGGAGTCTCTTCCTCTTCTTTCCATAGAAAATAATACAAAATGTCTGCCATATGAAGAGTTAATCAAATATTATGACTCTGAAATACAGGTAAAAGGTATGATAGAATTATGTCAGGCTGTGAGTTAATATAAAATATTGTGCTATATTTTTTGTTCTGTTTCTTCTTCGGTGTTTAACATTTTTAATGTCAGATTTTTTATTTCTTTTCTTTTTCCAAATAGTTGCTTTAGAAACTAATTTTTATAATTAATTTTGCATTTACTTTTTTTGGTAAAATTACATTCACCATTTTATACATCTTTAGGTTACAGTTTTATGGCACGACGTACATGCACAATATTGTGCAATCATCACAGCTCTTCATGTCCAGATCTTTTCCACCTTCCCAAACTGGAGGTCTGTTCCCATTAAACTACAACTCCTCCCTTAGGTCCTGACAACCATTGCTCTACTCTACCTCTGTAACTAACTATTCTAGGTACCTTATGGAATTGTAATCCTAGAGTCTTTGTCCTTTAGAGCCTGGCTTATTTCACTTAGCATAGTGTCATCATAGTTTATCCATGCTGTGGCATGTATTATTCCTTTCCAAGGCCAAATAATATTCCTGTATATGTATGTGTGTGTATGTGTGTATTGCTTATTCATTTGTTTGCCAATAGACTTGGTTTGTTCCCACTCTTGGCTATTGTGCATAATCCTGCTATGAAAGTGAATATGCAATATCTGTTGAAGTCTCTGCTCTCATTTCTTTTGGTTTGTACCTAGAAGTAGAAATGCTGGACCAGATGGCAATTGCATGTTTAATTTTTTGAGGAAATGCCACACCATTTTCCACAGTGTCTGTACCATTTTGCATTCTCACCTACAATGTGCAAGGATTTCAGTTTCTCCACATTATTGATGACATTGTTTTCAGAAGGGTTTTTGTTTGGTTGTTGTTTATTCTATAATAGCTATCTAGTTGTTGTGAAGTGTATTTTTAAGAGGGCCCCCCAAAACCTGTGTATCCCCTGGACTCAGGTCTGAACTACAGTTCTACCAAAGTGGTCAATTTGCTCCATTTCTCTGTGGTTTTGTTTCCTCACTTGTAAGATAAGGGTAATAGTAAGCTTGTCTCTAGGATTGTTTTGAAGAGATTGTGAATAACACATGTGGAACCATTAGCATAGCACCTCCCTCAGAAAGTAGCAATACCTACCTTCCTCACTACCTAACTACACATCTTTCCCTGTACTATATTGTGAGTTTCTTACTCATTTTTTATCCCCTGAACCCAGCTTAGGGCCCAACCACAGTCAGTAGTGTTTTGGGTTGTTTTGTTTGTTTTTCAGTACTGGGGATTAAATCCAAGGGCACTTTACTACTGAGCTACATTTCCAGCCCTTTTTTACTTTTTAGATATACTTTATTTTGAGTTAGGGCCTTGCTAAATTATCAAAGCTGGTCTCGAACTTGCAATACTCTTTCTTCAGCTTCCTGAATCACTGGAATTACAGTTGTGCACCACCACACCCAGCACACAGTCAGTACTTGATGACTATTTAATGTTGGGATTTAAAATAATCTGTAGAATGCAGGCCACATTCTTTTAGCCAAAAGAAGGTGGAAATTGAGAGCTGGGGTTGTAGCTCAGCAGTAGAGCACTCGCCTGGCACATGGTGCTGGGTTCAATCCTCAGCACCATATAAAAAGAAATAAACAAAATAAAGCTATTGTGTCCAACTACAACTAAAATATAATTTTTTAAAAAATAATGTAAGAATTCAAATATTCTTTGGTGAAGAGAAATTAAAGTAAATATGACAATCTGGGTGCTCTATAATTCACTGAATGCAATTAAGTCTTATCAGTATAATAAAATTTTATTGTTCTCATTCCCTAAAGTATCTTTGCCCATGCTCAGCAAAGCATTTTATTTTTCTCATAAAATTGTAAATCATAGCATCTCTCTACTATTGCTTTAGACCAATACTTGTATTCAGTAGACCCTACCAGACCACTGCAACAAGATTCTGGTGCCCCAAAGGTAAGAAAGAATAATGTCATGTGATTTAGGATGCTGCCTCATCTGGGCTATTTTCTGCTCAGAAATATGTATATATTTAAAGCCTACAATATTCAGAGATCCCATTCCTATGTAGGCCTACATGCCAACACCTGAAAATGATAGTAATTATGACACCTGGTTAAAAAGTAAAAGTCTTAAAAGTATCTAGAATAGTATGAACATAAGTTTAATACCTCCAAGATCAATTAAAACATAAGAAGAGCTTTTATTTATATATGTCAATCATACTTAATCTATTTTTGTGTCTCAATCTGATAATAAAGTTTGAAATTATGCATCCTTAATATAGGACTGCTAAAATCACTTCTGTGAAAAGTTAATAAAAATAAATAAATATTAAACCAGGCACAATAATGTATTTATTTATTCATTTGTTTATCAATAGATACTCAGTTTATTCCCAC